TAGTTATTCCATTACAATAACCCAGTTTCTTTTTGGGGATTAACGAAATGTTATCATTCACCAGGCGCCATCATCATTCACTGTTTAGAGCTGTTTTTTTTTTTTTTTTTTTTTTTGAAATTTATTTGGCTTGTTATTTACGAAAACATTGTTTTCGAACTTTTGTAGGGCGTTCATAAAACTTTATTGTCTCTGGGTGTTTGAAGTTCATTTGTTTTCTCGCAAAGGCAGTTGGCAGCTTGAGGCTTCGTCTAACTTGCCGAGAAATACATCATTGTGGTTGATTTTGCCACAAGCTGGCCTCCTCGCCCACAGACGTCAGCGTCATCAATGACGAATGCAGCGAGATGAGAAAGGCAACGAGTTGGGGAGGCAGGAAACGTACGAAGAGGATGTAGTAAAGTGTAACACACACATACACTGGACGACTAAACTACATTTTACTAATTGCAAAGTTTTAATTAAATCCAGTAAAATGAAAATGTGGGATTTTGATGTAACGGCCAGTGAGTGCAGTAAAAACCATAGCTAACCAGCATGGATGTTTAATATCCCGGGTGCAGTGTGACACATATACAATACACTTGCACACACACACACACACTCATATTCGCACTCAAAAACCCCAAACAAGAACAACAAAAGCGGTTTTCAGCCAAAACAATTTACACTCTGCTGCCGCAACAACGACGATGATGTCCGTCCGTCCTTCTGTCCGTTTAACCGACCAACTATTTATGCGAAAATCAACTGATGATTTCATGCGCATCCGAAGTCCGGGGTGGGTGTGAAAATCGCCGTGGTTGGCCATTGTTTTCATTAGTGCTGAATATATGCTGCTGTGTACATACACACATCTGGAATATATACCAGTGGCTTTGTCAGTGTGATGGCCTCAAAAACCCAAAACACTACAATATCGAAGTGGTTTTCCTTGGCCACATGGCATTTCATAAGCAAAGGATAACGCCAACAACAAAAAACACCCCGACTTGCAAATAAACTGCCGTTATCTTTAGCAACTGCACCTTTTTAACTGACTCCATGCACCACAAAACCAATGTAATTTGAAAACGTTTACTGCAAAAGTGGCGGAGGTCAGATTGTAAAACGCTAAAGGATTTAACATGACACGACGAATGTATGGTCAAAGAAAGAAAAGGATTAATGAAAAAAACACAAAAAAAGTGTAAAAAAACGCCAAGTATAAGTTAAAAGCCAAAAAGAGATGACTGTTTGTGATAGGGGAGCATCCACGAAAAAACTGCGGAGAGAGTATTTGAAAGAAAAACTTTAATAGAAAGCAGAATGTAAGTCGATAGGAGTTAAAGCTATATCTGAACCGAATTTTGCCAAACTCGACGTACTTGCTTCTGGACTGAATTCGGTCGGATGTTCCAAAATTCAGGACTTTTTGACAGATATTGGCCATTTCGTGCACAATTAACCCGAAACGGGTTGAAGATATATATGGAACCTATATCCAAATCTGAACCGATCTTGATAAAATTTGGCAGTGATATTTTCGAGCTCTATAAGATATCTGCTACCAAATATCATTGTTGTCGAATGGATATTGCGAATTTGAGGGACTTATACACCAAATCAGATGAAACATATACAGGGTGAGATGAAAAAACTGCAACCAACTTCAGACTGCTGTCATTTCCAAGCCACTCGTCCGAAAGCTGTTAAAATTATTCCAGCGACAGCTCTTATATTGCTTACAAGAGTACAAAGCATTTTGGTAAGAGTTTTCCAGAAAAAAAGTTATTCGTGATGCAATTCAAGCGTGATAGTGTGATTCCTTTTTATTTGGCTGGAAAACCACAAGTGGCTATCGTTAGAGCACTCCAGCATTTAAATGTGAATAAATCTTTTGTGTCTCGTACCATCGCTCGTTGCCGTGATACTGGTAGTGTAGTCTGACGTCATGGAAGTGGACGGAAGAAAACAGCAACATCAGCAGAAATGGTTCGAAAAGTAAAGAAGCGATTTGATCCAAACCCACATCGCAGTGGCCGAAACATGGCTCGTGAGCTGAACATATCGCAATATTCCATTCGGCAAATATTGAAAAATGAGCTCGGGGTAAAGCCATTGAAATTCCAAAAAGTCCAAGAACTTACACCGCTATAGAAAGAAAATAGACTCAAAAGAGCTAAAGAGTTGCTTCGCTTGGCCGAAAGTAATGAACTGCCGAATTTGGTTTTCTTTGGTTTTGGAAAACCAACAAAATGATCGTGTTTACTTGCCAAGGAGGTCAGCTGAAAATATGCACCTTCGGTTGGTCATGAGAACTCAAGCGACGGCCATGGTGATGGTGTTGGCCTCCATAACAGCCGATGGTCGCTCTCCGTTCATATTAATCGACCGTGGCATCAGAACAAATGCCGAATGTTATCGCGAAAATATTCTGGAGGGTGTATTAAAGCCTTGGGCACACAAACATTTTGGCCGCAGACCTTGGGCATTCCAACAGGACTCAGCACCATGGCACTCAGCATGGTTACGAAATGAGGTTCCTCGCTTCATTTCCGGCGCACAATGGCCACCACAATTTCCGGATACCAAACCGTTGGACTATTGTGTCTGGAGTATTTTGGAAAGCAAGGTTGTCACCTCAAGCAAGCGCTTCGCCGGGAATGGGCCAAAATAACGCAGAGCAACATTCGGACAGCGTGTGACGGTTTCATTGGCCGTTTGAAGGCCATAACTCGAGCCAAAGGTGACCAATTCGAACAAATCTAAACTTACTCTAAAATTTGATGCTATTTCCAACAGTTTTTGATTTCATTCAATAAAATTAAAAAAAAAAAATTTTAAAATTATGGCTTTTGACTTTGTTGCAGTTTTTTATCTCACCCTGGGGTCTCCTTTTTATATTTTCATATTTTTGGATCCAGTGGACATGAAAAATCACCACGATTTAAGATCGTGGTGTCTGAAAAATATAGCTATTGCGTTTGAGTGACAATTGCAATAGGCATTGTCTCAAGTGACCAATTTAAAAACCAGTAAAGAACGCTTAAAGTCGGGCCGGGCCGACTTTATGATACCAAACACCACTATTCTTATTAAGTGGAGCTAGGCTGAATTCGGTCGGATGTGCCAAAATGCATGCCATTTGAGCTGATATTGACCATTTGGTGTACATTTAAGCCGAAATCGGATGAAGATACATATGGGAGCTATAGCTATATCTGAAACGATTTATACTAAAATAGGTGTACTTGCTTCTAGGCTGAATTCGGCCGGATATGCCAAAATTCATGCCATTTGGGCTGATATTGGCCATTTGGTGCACAATTAACCCGAAATCGGATGAAGATGTATACGGGAGGTATATACAAATCTGAACAGATTTTAATAAAATTTTTATTATTATTATTATTTTATTATTATTATTTATCTGATATCTAGTACCAAATATAATTCCTGTGGAGTGCATATTACGAATGTGAGGGACTTAAAAGACCAAATCGGAGGAAACATATATATGGGAGCTATAGCTATATCTGAACCGATTTTTACTAAAATTGCTGTACTTTCTTCTAGGCTGAATTCGGTCGGATGTGCCAATATTCATGCCATTTGGGCTGATATTGGCCATTTGGTGCACAATTAACCCGAAATCGGATGAAGATATATACGGGAGGTATATACAAATCTGAACAGATTTTAATAAAATTAAAATCAAATATTCTTGGGCTTTATCTGATATCTGGTACCAAATATCATTCCTGTAGATTGCATATTACGAATGTGAGGGACTAAAACACTAAATCGGATGAAACATATATATATGAGAGCTATAGGTACATCTGAACCGATCTTCTTTAAATGTGCGTGCTTCCAGACAGAATTTGGTCGGATGTACCAAATTTCAGGTCATTTGGGTTGATATTGGCCATTTAGTGCACAATTAACCCGAAATTGGTTGAATATATAGCTATAGCTATATCTAACTGTGAACCGATTCTCACCAATTTCAATAGGGTTCGTCCATGGGCCAAACAAATGTTGTTTGGAAAATTTCATCTCAATCGGGTAATAAATGCGACTTGCATTTTGTTCACAAGAATACATGGACGGACGGACGGACGGACGGACGGACGGACTGACATGCATAAATCAACTCAGAAAGTTATTCTATGGAGATCCTCAAAAGTAACTATGGGTCTATCTCGCTTCCTTCTTCATGTTACAAACAAATGCACAAAGACATAATACCCTTACCACTATGTGGTGTAGGGTATAAAAAGAGGTACCTTCAATGCCTATGCCACCTTCCTCAATTTTTGTTTATTGGCAAATTATTTTGGTATGAATAAACCTTAAATCTATTTACTTGTTCACCTTAAGCCATCGTTGATTTTAGCAGATACTGAAATACCTTCACGTCTGTTTCACTTGTTTTTGATTTTTGTTCTATTTTTAACTTCTCCACCGAGATTTGTAATTAAAAATCACAATCTTATCACGTGCTCTTATCATTCGTTCGATTTGTTAATTATACCAAGAAAACAACTTTAGCTAGCCAGGCAGACGCCATGGCCAAAATTCATTTGTATCCTTCACCACGGACAACACCAATTCATTTGTATCCTTGGCTCTTTTTCGATTCGATTGCGCCAATCTCATTCACGTTGTTTTGCCATAAAATTACTGGCAATTTATAACGAGACGTTTACTTCGGTTGTTGATGTTGTTGATTTTGTTGCTTGCATAATTAATGCACTGGATCTGACTTGGCCAAAACCGGCTGTTGGCGTTCTTGGTATTTGCACATCACGAAAACACCAACAACAACGGTGGCATCGTTAAGGCAAAATATGCAAAAATACCCCGAACGTGTCTGATTTAACTTGGACGATTTTCATATTGTTTTGCCAGTTAAATGTTTGGTATTTGATGAGGATTTGTATGGGGATATTTTTAGGTATACCACCCACGACTTATCGCGATATTTGATTAGAAATTAAGCCAGCCACACTTACCGTTATTTTCAGACGTGCTATTGCCGGTGATTCCAGTGTTTCCAAAATGGCTGTGGCGCTATTGTAATTTCCCACCAAGAGGCAATATTGGGCCACACCACTCCACAGTTCAACACATTTACTGCGTTCGTGAATGCCACTGCACTGTAAATAGATGTGAGAAAAAATAAGAATGCAGGTGAATATTAGTTATGGGTAGTAAGACAAACAGATTCAAGTTATGTATTTTCAGGAAATGCTTACTAGTGACAGATTAAAAGAAATTGACGGAAATATTACTCGAGGGGAAAAATGCCAGAATCACGAATGTAGTCTAAATAAAAGGAGTTTCCAAATATATCTACCAATAACACTATAAAACACATGCATTGATAGTGGCTATATATCAGAAACAAGTAGCATCTTTGTGCAGTCTTGCAACCCGAAGCCAACCTTCAGGTGCATCTAATTTATCAAAAACTTTGAAAAAAGGAGAATTTTATATAATTGTGGATGATATGCCTAACAATTCCTTAGAACATTATGAAGCTGTAATAAATTTTTAAATTTTCAACGTTTCATGTACAGGCTGAGATAAAAAAAAAACTGCAACAAAGTCAGACGCCATAATTTTTAAATTTTCATTTAAATTTTATTGAATAAAAGCAAAAAATGTCGGAAATAGCATCAAATTTTAGAATAAGTTTAGATTTGTTCGAATTGTTCACCTATGGCACGAATTATGGCCTTCAAACGGCCAATGAAACCGTCACACGCTGCCCGATACTTTGGTATTTTTTAGTGCCAACCTTGCTTTCCAAAATACTCCTGACACAATAGTCCAACGGATTGGTATTCGGAGATATTGGTGACCAATATGCGCTGGAAATGAAGCGAGGAACCTCATTTTGTAACCGTTACGTTGTAAGTTCTTGCATTATTCTTTCCGAAAAAAAGAGAAATGTAAAATATATACAAGCTTTCAGGATTCCAGACCTATTAAGTCTAAATTCTAATACTTTCTTACAAATATGGGACACATTTCCAAATCAACCGTATGCGTATTATGCACTCTAGAAGAATATTTGGTAGCGGATATCAAATTCTGTTAAAAAACGCCTCTGCCAAATTCTATCGACTTCGGCTCAGATTAGATCCCATATATATTTTTATCCGATATCAGGTTTATTGTGCTCCAAATGGTTAATAACAGCCCAAATGGACCGAATTTTGGCAATTACGACTGATTTCATAATATAAACCAGTATTTCAAATTTGGTGTAAATCGGTTCAGATATAGCTATAGCTCCCATATATATGCTTTATCCGATTTGGGGTTTAAAGTCCCCTACAAGGGTATTATGCATTCCGCAACAATGATTTTTAATACCAAATATCAGATACAGCTTCGAAATAAGTGTATCAAATTTGATTAAGATCGGTTCAGATTTGAATATAGGTCTTATATATATCCTCAACCAATTTCGGGTTAATTGTGCACCAATGGCCAATATCAGTCCAAATGTCATGAATTTTGGCATATCCGACCGAACTCAGACTAGAAGCAAATACATGAAGTTCGAAGAAAATCGGTTCAGATATAGCTATAGATATAGCTCCCGTGTATACGTTTCATCCGATTTGGTATTTAAGTCCCTCACATCCATAATATGCATTCGACAGCAATGATATTTGGTACCAGATATATTGTCGAGATCCGCATAGATTTGGATATATCTCCCATATATATCCTTGATCCGATTTCAGGTTTGTTGTGCAAAAATGGCTAATATCAGCTCAAATAGATTGAATTTCGGAACTACTTTTCGCCGATATAATTATACCCTACACCACATAGTGGTAAGAGTATTATGTCTTTGTGCATTTAATTGTAACATGGAGAAGGAAGCGAAATAGACCCATAGTTACTTTTGAGGATCTTCATAGAATCACTTTCTGAGTTAATTTATGCATGTCAGTCCGTCCGTCTGTCCATGTATTCTCGTGGACAAAATGCAGGTCGCATTAATTATCTAATTGAGATGAAATTTTCCAAACAACCTTTTTTGACCCATGGACGAACCCTATTGAAATTGGAGATAATCGGTAAAAATTTAGATACACACATATATATATATATATATATATATATATATATATATATATATATATATATATATATATATATATATATATATATTATTTTGCACATACGACCATATTAGGCCTGAAAATAAGTATGCCAAATTTGATCGATATATATATATATATTGTTCATCCGATTTGTTATTTTTGTCCTCCGCAGCCGTAATATGCACTCTGTAACAACAATATTTGGGGAAATATATCAAATGCAGCTCAGAAATACCTTTGCTAAATTTTATCGAGATCGGTTCAGATTTGGATATATCTCCCATATATAACTTCGTCCGATTTACATTTTATTGTGCACCAAACGTCTAATATTTGTCCAAATGGGATGGAATTTGGCACATACGACCGAATTTAGTCTAGAAGCTAGTATGTCAAATTTGGTGAAGATCGGTTCAGATATAGCTATAGCTCACATATATATTGTTCATCCGATTTGTTGTATTTGTTACCCACAGCCGTAATACGAACTCCGCAACAACGATATTCAGGGAAATATATCAAATACAGCCAAGAAATATTTTTGCCAAATTTTATCGAGATCGGTTTAGATTTAGATATAGCTCACATATATATCTTTATCCGATTTCAAATTATTTTTGCACCAAATGGCAATACAAGTGCGAATTTAAAAGATACAAGTGCTTCGGCATATTTAGTCCTTTGAACTTTAAATAATAATTATAATCATAGAGTGTATGGGTATGGGTATCATAAAGTAGGCCCCGCCCGACTTTAGGACTTTCTTTACTGTTTTTTTTTTTTTTTTTTAATAGAGTCCTTCTCGAAGTGATATCATGCACTCTATAACAATGTTATTTGCAATAAAAATAAAATATCCCTGTAAAATTTAGTGAAAATTGATTCAGAATCAAGTATGCCTTCCATACATTTATTTGTTCCCTCTGAAAGCAAATTTTAACTGTTCTAAAGCCGAATGTTGATAGATGGTATTATCTACTTGAAATAAATTATTTTGTTACGGGAGCTCTACTAAACATGCATAGTGGTGTAGGGTATCATACAATCGGCCCCACCCGACTTTTGACTTTTCCTTACTGTTTTTTTAAGAATGTGACCGCAAGGTGTGCCCATCTTCGAACTCATACCAAAGTTTATGTCATCACGTGCCCTGATTTTTGTACAATGATAAACTTAAACAATACAATAAACGCATGTCTAGGGCAAAAAGGTTTTCATGAAAGATACCAAACCGAGTTCTGGTAGCCGTACAAGGGCATGATTTTAGAAAAAAATAAAAGAGTTGCGAGTATGCGGGAACTATCAGGAATGGAATTTTGCAGATGGCTGGAAAATACCAATCACACAGTCAGACAGAGTATGGAATAACTAATCTCTTCTGAAAGCGCCTGTACTAACATAATGTAGACTTCAAATTTTAGGTAGACCGGCAAAAAAATATTAAAGTCATGGCATGGTTAAGGATGACACCAAAAACTATTCCAGACCATAGTGGATTTATAGCTATTATTTGCAATTATTTAGATTCAGTAATACAGGGAGCGTATTATTCAAATTTGAGAGCGTAAGATTTTTTTTTTAAATAAACTTGTTTATTCCAATTCTTCACGACAAATATATATATTTTTCCCCAAAAATTATTGTTCAAGGAAGAAGCACCCAAAATGTTTTGTAATTTAAACAATATATATTTCCCTCTGTGACTACCATAACACAATTTAAAGTTGCAGAAAAACTTTCCAATTTATTCTTATTATAATTTTCAAATCTACCGCAAAATGTGACCACTTACTTCAGAAACAGAGTCACAAATTTATTATAAATTATTGTCCGCCCCTCTAGAAAAGAAAGAATACAAAATCAATAAAGAATTTTATTGAAATTTTACCCTCCCAGCCCTGCAACCATCGTCACCCCAACCAACCAACCATCCAACGAATCCGTAAAATCCACAATAAATCATTGAAGCAAATAAAGTTCCGTTTCGAACCAATGGAAGTCAGTCATGCCAGAAAAATGTTACTTGATTTGTGGTTGCCATTGTTGCAAATGTAGGTGGCATGGAAACGGAGTATTGTTATTGTGCGATACCGTAGTGGATTATTGAAAAGGAAAAATACTCGGCGAAATTTGTTATTATATTTGAAATGGTTTAGTTTCTCTCTGAGTATCGTGGTTATGAATATTCGTTGATATTTTTACCATTTCAGTTACAGAGGCAAAAAATTCTTATCGTGCGTACGATAAGTCTCGAAATGAGTATCCGATTTATAGTAAAAAACAAGTAAAAAAGCTGTAAGTTCGGCCGGGTCGAAGTTTAATAATAATAATAATAATAATAATAATAATAATAATAATAATAATAATAATAATAATAATAATAGTAATAATAATAATAATAATAATAATAATAATAATAATAATAATAATAATAATAATAATAATAATATAATAATAATAATAATAATAATAATAATAATAATAATATAATAATAATAATAATAATAATAATAATAATAATAATAATAATAATAATAATAATAATATAATAATAATAATAATAATAATAATAATAATAATAATAATAATAATAATAATAATAATAATAATAATAATAATAATAATAATAATAATAATAATAATAATAATAATAATAATAATAATAATAATAATAATAATAATAATAATAATAATAATAATAATAATAATAATAATAATAATAATAATAATAATAATAATAATAATAATAATAATAATAATAATAATAATAATAATAATAATAATAATAATAATAATAATAATAATAATAATAATAATAATAATAATAATAATAATAATAATAATAATAATAATAATAATAATATAATAATAATAATAATAATAATAATAATAATAATAATAATAATAATAATAATAATAATAATAATAATAATAATAATAATAATAATAATAATAATAATAATAATAATAATAATAATAATATAATAATAATAATAATAATAATAATAATAATAATAATAATAATAATAATA